GACGTAGGGGAGCGAGGGGCTTGTTGTAACAGGGGTAAGTAGTAACAGGCTCTTTTCACTAGGATCTTTAAATTTATTAGTGTATTTCTTTGACTCGATTTGACTTATAAACCGCGCCGTATCATGTTGCCATAGCCAGAGTCCCGCCGGCCGACGCAGTAAGCCGAAGTGTGCACGCGCTTCATTTTTGCCAGGTAATATAAAATTGTAATGTAAAATTTTGGTTTGCATTATTATTATCGGCTAATTTCAAACTTTCTATATCTTATTTACATTCAAAATTATCTATCTCTGATAATGTGTAACAGTTTTGAAGATTGCTAAATTGTGCAAATAGTTATCTTGATAAATGTTAAAAATCATACCATGGGGTTAGTTGTAACAAAATCCCGGGGCTTGTTGTAACATGATACAATATGCCCCAAGTTATGATGTAGATACCTACTTATTTTTTTTCCTTTCATTAAGAATGAGAGTGTATAAAAGAAAGTCAGAGAGGGCAATACTAAGCCAAGAAGGGTACGAGTTAGCGGCAGCTGAAGTTTTAGAAAAAAAATGCAGTATTCGGAAAGCTAGTCAGACTTTCGGATTTTGTCACGTCTCTCTTTATAGATACATAAATAAGAAGGAGAATAATGAAAGTTTAAGAGTTGGTTTTGTTAAGCCTAGATAAGTATTTACTGCAGAAAAAGAAGGTAAGGTGGCTTTCTTCCTACTCAAGTGCGCCGAAATAAATTTTTGACTACTTCCTATAGAAGTAAGGAAACTACGCTTACCAATGAGGTGTACAGCTTAATGCTAAAAACATTCCTCCTTCTTGGCATCCAAATAACATGGCTACTGACTGGTTTCAAAATTTTACTTATCTTTAATGACATCACAAGTGTCGTCTTTAAGTCGAACGGGTCACAATGGTTCAAAAATGTAAGAAAATAGTAGCTGTTCATCCCCAAAAGCAAACTGGAGCATCGGCTGAGAAAGAGGTCAATTTTGTTAAAAATAAGCAAAGAATAAATGATTAGAGGTATTATTCTTCTTTTTTTTTGTCGTTACTACTTGCCCCGGTAGACTTTACAACTTGCCCCTAGCACGAGGTAAGTTGTAACACCGCACTTCTTCTAGAAAATAATTGATTGTAAAATAATGACCAATAGTTATGGTATTATTTTGACTTGATTTGGTAGAGGAAGAGTTACTGCATCCATCCATATTTATTTAGTAGCAATTTATTCAATGGATCTCAAGATCACTTACTTTTCATGAAAACTGTTACAACAAGCCCCTCTCTCCCCTGCACAACAATCACTTAAAACAATAAAAATTACACAAAAAAACATGAACATAAAACTCCAATATGCATATTTTCCCTTTTCAATAACGTACGTCGCGATTCATGCCAAAAAGGACATCACTCAGCAGAATGTTGCAGTGAAACTGCAACCGTGATTTTCAGTAATGACCAAAAATTGGGAAATACAGCCCCGAGCCTAAAAAAAAACAATACATTTATCAAAAACAAAAGTAAGAAACTAAAATTTTAATAAAATAAAAACTCAAAAAAACAACAAAAATGGGAACGTTAATTAGGATCGTAAATGTATCCACCAATCCATACATGTGTGTGCATCAGGCACGTGCTTACTTTTCAGTTAATGGTACGGTTTTAGTGCGAGAAACGAGAAAAATGAAAGAAAAGGACAAAAAATTTACATAAAATCTTATAAAAAGTAACAAAAAACATATGATGTTATTTAATCAAAAGAAACATGAAACAATAATAAAAAATGTACAAAAAAAAATAACTGGTAGCACGAATGGTCAAGCATACCGTCCCCGTTTATGTTTTTTGCTCAGATAAAAGGTGTTTTTTTAAATGATATCTAAAGGAATCTAAAGGATATCTAAAGTAATTAAATTTAAATATATTGATTTCTTGCTTTTGCGTACATATTAATTTTACGTTAATATTATACATATTAAATGAAACTAGTTTACGGATTTTATCGCGTTTTAATTTTGATTTTATTTCGAACCCTTCCCAGCGTTCATGGTCACGGGTTACGCAATACAAATAAGTCCGTAAACAAGTTTCATTTGATAGATTTAAAATCACCTAACGAATGGTAATGGGGTTTTTTAAACGGGTCACCTTTACCGGTTACTCCATTATACTGCCCGTTTACCCGTACAGGATATATGTATTTCAAAACCGACATTAGAAAATCTTTAGTCTAAATTTGGGCGCGCAACACTTGACGCGCGTCACCGTGTCGAGGGCCTGGCTCCTATATTCAACGAACGGCCGTTAGTTACATTGTCATTATGAAGTCGTTACAAAGAGTCGTTATGAAAGTTACGTAACTAGCGGCCATTCGGTGAATATAGGAACCGAACATGAGTGAATAACCGAATGAGTACACCATCAGCCTCTAGTAGTTTAATGCTCTCCTAGTAAATACCATACGACTTGTTCGCCCTCATTATCTAGTTGTTGCCAGCAATCCTTATGCTATATAATAACTGTATCATAGTATACATTGTTCTCCGTCAAGTGGACGCCAATTGGAGTCGCCAAGGTATTGGCTTCGGCGTTCTACAGATAGCTGTTTCGCATCTGGGCGTTTGTCCACATGAATTTATATATTTAAAACGTTCTTGCAACACAGGATAATGTTATCCTGAAGTAAGGGCAGTGTTTTAAAAAAAAAGAAAAAACGAAAGAAAAAAGAAAAGCTACGGCCGCAATGCTCGAGCGGTAGCGGGCTTTGTCGCATTGATGCTTACCGCGTGTGTCTTAAAGCAATAGCTCAAAGTATATTTTTACTGGTGCTATATATATTTAGTATATAATCTTTAGGTTACTTGAGATTTAACTGTCTGTTTATAAAAGTGTTTGTCAAATAAAACAGAAACCACTTTATTATAAGTTGGCAACGCATCTGCAACCCTACGAGTGTTGCAAATGTCCATGGGCGGCGGTTGATATTTACCATCACGTGAACCGCCAGGGTCGCTTGCAAAAAAAAAAACGAAACAGAGGTTTAAGCGGTTTTATTTCGCAAAGACGTGAGGTTTTATTTTTATTTACTTGCTTTGATCGTTTTCTTGTTTTATTCATAATCACAAAAGCATTCTTTTCTCAACCGTCCCAACCGCAAACTTTCAATAATTAAACGTAATAATTCAAAGTGGAAGCCAACCAATTCCACCGTCAAAAGTTCCGCTTCCGCACGCTTCCGACCGTGGCGTGCACCGCGCGCATCCTTGCAACGCAACGCAGACGGAACGCGCCACAAACAAAAGTCCCACGTCCGCTCAATCGACTAATGGAGGGGAAAAGATAAGCCGTTGCCATTATGCTCGTACGCCCGCTCGCTCGAGCCCTAAATAGCTTCAGTTTGAAGCGCCAAGTGCGCCTCTAGAGCTCCTGTTGCTTGCGGCTGGAATTTAATTTCGTCTGAAAGCTCTGGATTTTTATGCTTAGCGCGCGATACGAGTCGGCGCTATGTGGTAGGATAATGTGACATTGCGTTTGCATGTGGTTTTTTTTTTCTTGATTTGAACATTAAACCCAGTAGGGTCAGCAACAGGTGTAATATTTTATTAAAAAAAAATAACTAAAATTGCAAGTTACGTGATAGCGACTTGTCCGGGTGCTTTTAATTCAATATTCTCTAGCGAACCTGAGTTTTACCCGCGATGCCGTGACCGATGAAATTTTTAATTTTAAGTGCTGACTTGAAGGAAAACATCGTGAGGAAAGGTTTCCTATACAAGTGTATGTTTTCGAAATAATAACATAAATAAGCATTTCGAAGATTCGTAAAGTCCGCCAATTCGCAGTGGGGTCGCGTGGATTATGGCCCTATTACCGGCCGTACAAAGGAGACCTTTGCCCAGCTGTGGGTCATATTAGGCTGTTACTTTCTTTACTTTTTATGTATTACGATATATTTACAGGAGACTGATTAAATCACATTTCGTAAAAGTGTAGCAAGTGGTGTAGTTGTTAATATAATATAATAAGTTACGCAGACAAAGTAGCGTGTACTAGTAGGTTTTTTTTAAATATTTTGATACAATTTAATATCAATCGCAGATAGATCCAGTTGTGTAACCGCTGCATGGTCACAACTCAGCTATGCAACCGTCAGCAATTACAATTAAGATATAATAGTTCCGATGTAGTAATTAGTGCTTCGCTGGCGTTATTGTCCTATTAATGTCCGGTCGAGAATTCACCTCGCAACTCAATCCGGTCGCCTGGCGGCTATAATATAAATATATGGTCGTTCGATATCGTCGTTTCGGTAAGCGACGCTTTAGATTAGAGACCGTTTTGATGGAAATTTCGTTGGCCATTAAGTGAGGGGACTGGTGAAAGCGATGTCGGTCTTCCGTATCTACTATCATCAGCTGCTACTGAAATAGTGATTATGAAATAGTGCTATTGAGAACTCACATAACTTCTTTTGGCGCGTTTGGCAAATATGATGAGAGTGAATTTTTACGATGAGCGACACCAAATTCCCGGCAATCAAGTGTTGGCATGGAAACCAATAGGAACTTTGTTGTCATTTAGCCATAATTCCAAATTATTTAATTGAACCGTTATAAATAACATTTTATGAACATTAAAACATGTAGAAAACGTACGAAAAGATTGTCGCCGCTATGGGAATCGAACCCACGTCTTCGGCATTCGCGGCCTGACGCTCTACGCCACTGTGCTAAATGGCGGATAGCCATCTTTTCGTACTTTTCCTACATGTTTTAATGTTCAATCTTAAGATTATTGTTCTTAATCTTAAGAGTTATTAATCTTAAGAGTATTGCAGAGATTACCACTATAAAAACTTTAAAAATTAACATTTTATGCTTTTTTTTCATAAACAAAGAGACGATTCTTTTGTGACGCCAAACAAGTATGACTTCTGACGTGCGTACACACACGTTTTTTTAATTAATCGGAGAAAGTTTTACCTCGATGTTTTTTTTCACCGTCTCAGGTTTGTTTCACAAGTGATAAGGGTGGGTGTAGTTACTCCTCTCTTCGTCCACATCCCCTCAATGCTGAGGATCGTGACCACGTGCAATATTTCATGTGGTTTCCTTGGGAGAGTTGTGCAGTAGTTCCCCGTTGCTTTCTGCACCAGGCATCTGAGTGGTCGTTTGGAGCTCAAGGCCGCTGCAGCCTCATCCAACCAGTTGCCTGGTCGGGTGTATGGTTGTGTTACTGTTACGAAATAAAAGTCGCACTTTTGTCCGTCACTGTCACTGTCTGTAAAGCATTGATAGTATTCGGTACCTCAGTCTGTTCAAAAAGACGGAGACTTGTTACATTTTAGTTTCCTAATGGCTAAGGGGCTAATGCACTATAAGAATGACGGTTTCCCCGCTGCGAACCTATCATATTTCGGATTATCTAATACAGTATGTGAAATTTTGACACCTAAGGAATTTTAAATCCAATTTACTCACAGCGTTCTGTAAACGCTGTTCGGGAAGATTGGACAAAGTAAAAGGAAAATGTAAAGAGAATTAATAATTGAAATATCAACGTTCATTTGACCTTTCCTGTGCCCACTGAAGAGATATTCTTTAGAAATCTTCAGTTTAATATCTGTACCTTAAGAATCCGTGTGGCTTGTGTTTTCATTGCTATCTATCGAGAATCTTACCCGGGTTCATATGCTCTTGCCAGTTGATTTGGTCCTCGGAGAACAGTAGGGATTTATCGAGTATGCAGATTGGACTGGCGTCCGGCTATAATGCCACGCTGTAATACAGGCCTATCGATTGCCAATGTGTAGGATCACCATGTTTTATTGTTTACTCGGATATCGGAAAACGTGGTTCGGGACCGTTTACCTGTGCTGCAACGCTTTAATTTGGTTCTACAGATTTTAAATTTAAACGTCGAATCTCAATTGAACCTTTAGTTGTAGAAATATGTTCACTTTTAACCATTTAATGCTTTGATAAACTTCATCTTTTGGTGTCTTGGTGTATTGAACAAGATTTTTTCTTCTTGATTTTTTCTTGCGAAATAAACATCGTAAATAAGTTTTTACATAACTTAAATTTCAACAGTTGCAACATGCCATAGTGCTCTTTTCAAGGAAGTTTTTGAAACTCCATTACGAACACTTTTTTTATAGAATCGGTTTTCGCCAGCGGCATTACCGGACCTATAAAACTTAGGGACCTTTATGTACGAACCAATTCCTTTCGTTTTGAAGACTGAGAACGGTTTTGAAACTCTTCCTGGTTTTGCGAATGCCCATTGGAAGCCGGCATCACTAATATTAGGTGAGCCTCTTGCTAGTTTAACACTTCCTCCATTAATAAAAGCTTTGTCAGTCTCTCCCTAATTAAGTTCTTATTAGGTCGTCTATCAGTCTCCAAATCGTTATAATAATAATAATAATACTTTATTTGCCATAACCCAAAAAAATAGAAAAATACATAGAAAAAAGTGAACAAAAAAGATTCAATTTCTGAAGAGAATTGGTCCCTCTACAAGTTAGCCAGAAATCGGTGTAATCAGATGGTACGCAACGCTAAACGCCGTCACATCCTCGATAATATTTCTTCATCTACTCCTGCCGATATCTGGAAGTTCCTTGGGACTCTTGGTATCGGTAAGTCGCGTTTTCCAAACCTTCCTACCTAAATCAAATTAGATGATTTAAATCAACATTTCTCTAACACTTCATCGATAGATATCTAACGATTAATAAAACGATTTCCTATATAAATGGTTTGACGCGCCCTGATATTGGTTCCTTTAATTTTTCTCCAGTTTCTTCCGAAGAAATCAAAAAAACTATCCTTGCTATCAAATCCAATGCTCTTGGCTGCGATAAAATCGACCGACGCATGATAGTCCCTATCCCTGATCAGCTTCTCCCTGCGATTACTCATATCATAAATTTTTCATTGGATACTGGATCCTTCCCTTCCTTGTGGTGTAACGCTCTTGTGCGTCCACTGCCGAAATGCCCTAATCCTTCACTTTTCGTTCATTATCGACCTATCTCTATACTACCCTTCCTTTCTAAGGTGCTTGAGTCCTGCGTTCTCAAGCAATTTTCTCTCTTTGTTCTTAGTAACAAATCGATAAGTCCTTTACAATCTGGATTCAGACCTGGCCACAGTACCACCACAGCCCTCCTTAAAGTGACTGGCGATATTAGGACAGGTATGGAAAATACAGAAGTTACTGTCATGGTTTTAATAGATTTTTCGAATGCCTTTAATGCCGTCAGTCACGACATCCTATTAGTAATCCTGTCTTATTTAATGGTTTCCGAGGAAGCACTGGAATGGTTTTCATCATATCTTTGAGAGCGCCAGCAGGCACTCACTATTGATGAATTGTCATCTAGCTGGCTCAATGTTGCAAGTGGTGTTCCTCAAGGCGGTATTCTCTCTCCTATTTTATTTTCTGTTTTTATTAATTTTACCACTCTCGAACTTCAATATGCGTATCATCTTTATGCCGATGATCTGCAGCTGTACGCTCAGGCCACCACTGATAGGCTCCCAGAAATAATTGATATTATAAACCAGGACTTAGCCGCAATTAAGAAGTGGTCAGACAGGTTTGGTTTAACCGTCAATCCAGCCAAGTGTTAAGCCGCCGTAGTTGGGAGCTCCCGTACCATAGGTAAAGTGGACCTGAGTGAACTCCCACGTATAACTTTAAACAGTTCTCGTATACCTATCAGTCGTAATGTGAAAAATCTCGGCTTGCACATTGACATGACGCTCAGCTGGAATGCTCAGGTAGGAAGCGTCTGTCAAAAAGTCTCAGGGGTCCTACGGTGTCTATATCGGCTCAAAAATTTCTTGCCGGCTAAAACGACGGACTTGCTCGTGCAGGCCTTAATTTTCCCATTAATCGACTATGGTGACGTGTAGTACTTCGACCTGAATGCAGATCAACTCAATAAACTCGACCGACTTCTGAATAACTGCATTAGATACGTTTTCAATCTTCGCAAGTAAGACCATGTATCTACTTACCGTGCTCAACTTCAGTGGCTATCCATACGTCAACGATGCTCTCTAAGAGCCCTGACTACTCTCTACTCTTTCCTGAACTCTTCTTCTTTTCCGACTTACTTATCCCATCATTTCCAATATCTATGTGCTGTTACCAATAAAAACCTTCGCTCCTCGCATAATCGTCTTCTCGTATGTCGTCCGCACTGTTCCGATTTCATGCATTCTTCCTTCTTTATCCAGTCTATCCTTCTGTGGAATTAGCTACCTCTCAAAATAAGGTTGGCTAAAAGTCGCTTTGTATTTAAAAAAAAGCACGTGAGCACATCCTCAAAAACTTGTCGGCAGGTCAACTCCATCGTTAATTGCCAGAATTTATTTATATATATGTTTTTATAATTGTATGTATACATTTATTTATGTATATATATATGATTTTATGTATATATTTAGTAAGTATATTAGTATGTATGTACATACACCTGGTAATATTTATTATATTTGTACTATAATTAACATGTGCATATACATTTATTTACAACAGTTTATATTTTAACAGTGTTTTCTTTTTATTTTTTTATTTTTTGACATCTTTCTGTGCGCCTACCGAATCTTCTCTGTACCACCCCAAGGTTGACTGGGAGATAATGCCTGTGGCATTAAGTCCGCCTCTGTACAGTTTGTGCATAAAGTATAAATAAATAAATAAATAAATACAAAATAAAACTATAATACACAAATAAAAAACAAAAATAAAATTTTGCCAAAAAGATAATAAGCTTAGCGATTTTTGAGAATTTCTCAGTGCTGATTTTCAGCTTATCCCTATATTGTATAAAGCTTTACATCATCATTTACAAATATTGACAGCGGTAGTTGGCGTATTTTGTTCAGTTAGGTCTGTATTATATAGTAATAACGATAATGTGTATCTAAATATCAGTAACTACTGCACTGTAACACAACAAAAGAAGACACAAAAGAAGATATATACAAGAAAAAAAAAATCAAATACAATGTAAAATATGATGTAAAATTAAAACTTAATAAATTAAAAGATAGTCATTTAGCTAAAGTTAGTATTTCATTTGTTTTAATTTTGAATTTGAACCGAACACAACTTTTATTTATTTAACAAGGAGAGCCTGAGTGGTTTTGTAAAATTATAAATCGTTCCTCATGTATCCTCCATTTCGAGCAATTCACATGGCCACCCTACACATGCACATTACGGATCGCAGGGATACGGAAATAGAACGGAATCGATACCGAGCCTCCATCGCAACAGCGGCGGCTAACGGCCGCGCACGGCACCGGTGTCCATTGTTAATACACGACGGCGGGGCACAGCACATTGGCCCAATCGAAATTTCCAGACTCACACACGTCTCACAGTAGTAGTAGTAGTATTGGTCGTCGGACAAAGATAGCATGACCTGCGAGACAGGGATGGCACGACTCGCTCGCAGTCGGGTTGATTGCGTCGATCGAAGTGGATGCTAATAATGTGATCCCTGTGATGGGCAATAAATTTGTCATTACCAGTTGTTATAGAGCATCAGTATTTTATTAATAGCGATCTAAATGTCTTTTGGCATTCACAGCTAATCTTGTCGCTTAAGTTTTCGAGGTTTATTATATTGGATTCAACACCTGTACATGATTATATAAGTCAATAATGAAAATGATAAACGTGTTGGAAATTGTGATAAGAATTTTTTTTGTAACCAAACAAACATCGTTCTGCCCTCTACGGTAGGTGGGGCAGTACCCTAGAGAAGCTATGAAGCATATATGTAGCTCGACGATACTAATCCTTACTAATATTATAAAGGCGAAAGTTTGTATGTATGGATAGATGTTTGTTACTCTTTCACAAAAAAACTACGGAATAGACTTTAATGAAACTTTACAATAATATAGCTTATACACCAGAATAACACATAGGCTATAATATGTAAAGGTATTGTGTGAATTGTCCAAAATATAGGTAATGATAAGTGTACTAAGTAGGAAAAAATTCAGCCATCTGTGAGATATTCTGGTGTATAATAAAAACTCATTGTTAATTCCCTTTGGCCGCGCCGGTGAAGCCGCGGATAACAGCTAGTATATTATATTCACGTTAATTAAACTGTCAAGGCAGAATTTTTCCAGATCACTTAAATAATCACCGATCTTTATCTTTGTAAGAATATCTTTTACTTTAGGAAAATTAATAAAATTTTGATCAAAAATTAATATCTAATTAAGAGTTAATGAAGCATTACACAGCGATAAACGTAGTGTAAAGCAAACATTAATTACCCGGCACTCTTTAGCTTCTAGCGCGAATGTATCAGGGAAAATCATACGGCTCCCCCAGACGACCGACGTAAATTGCAAGCAAGGAAGTAAGGTAAACGGGGCCCACTCTTAAAAGTTGGCGATGCAGCTACACACCCAAAAGTGTTGTAGGTGTCCATATGTCGGGGACTTTAACGGCAGTAGACCAGCCAGCTCATTTGTTGTTAATTGTCACAAATGTTACGTCCCTTAATGCGTTCTCGACTAACCCATTCCGCTCTTATCTAATTGCGATTTCCCCATCGTATATCCATCAAAATACCACTCTACGCCAGGCAATCTTTCGCCTCCAACATTCTCTCGTGGCCTAAACGATTTCTTCCCTTTTGCTTTCACCTTAGAGTTCATTGTCGCTGGCTCATCCCTCTCTCGTTCAAGTTGGACGCGTGCCAATCGTGACCAGTTACTAGCTACCGTCCGTTGGACTGCAAGCGGTGGCCTATCGTCGCGTGACTGTGGTCGGGATCATTATAGGGTATTAGTCGACGCGTTTATGAAGCTATTCGTGTTTCGTTCGCGTCTTGATGCTGTAGAATAAGTATAATAAAAAACCGACTTCAAATCGTAAACTAAAAAACATTGTTAATATCTATAACTTTTGAGGATTGCCCTCGATTTCTCTGGGATGCGATCATCAGATATGGGTTTCCTTATCATGGTAGTACTCTCGGGATATCTCCTTTCTAACAAAAAAAAAAGTCATCAAAATCCAAGTTATCCGCGAACACATTTAAAATATATATATATATATATATATATATATATATATATATATATATATATATATATATATATATATATATATATATATATATATATATATATATATATATACGGGCGAATTGAGAAACCTCCTTCTTTTTTGAAGTCGGTTAAAAAGCGTGTCAGAGAGCACTTCAGTCTTGCACGTCTGGCGCTTACGGAATCGAGAGTACTTGGATGTAACGAGGGTCGTGTTTCAAGTAACAAATATTTGTAATTGCAATCGAATGATGTGGAAATTCTTTACGATATATGAAGGAATGGCTAGTAACTCTAACGGGTTACGTTAGTTGCAAGTCTACAAGAATTCGTTAACATTCGTATTAAAATGTCACGGATCTGAAATAAAACAATATTGTACAAACGTAAAGGTTTGGAAGGATTGTAGATTGAAAGATATGTGCCACGAAATTGTTATACTTTAGTTAAAATTACGGTTAAAGTATCTCCAATAAGATTAACTGAGATAGTATAGCCTCTTTATATCAAATCTAGCTTTTTTAACTTCTCTAAGCTCAGAAAAAAGCTGACAGCTGGTGGACCTGTCGCTGTCGGAGAATGTGAAACATAATGTTTGCAAAGTAATAAGGAACCGACATAGTAAGATTTGAACCACATTCTCTGTTTATTAGGCTACCTACTACACCATTAATGCCAACTTGTGTCGTTTACCAAGAAAATTTGCGTCAAATCTCTCTCCGCCTTTATGCCAAGAGATGTCTCATCACCAACGTTGATTGTTTTTAATTAGAGCACGCAGTGTTAATTCAGAGCGAAAATGCGACATCGCTTTTATGTTTACCAATAAACGTAATGATAATTGGCACCAAACCCGCGAACAAACCGAAGAGATTTACGCCGAAATAATTTGTAGACGTCTTCATTGCTTAATTATTCATACGTGGGACATTCACTGGCGGTCGATTCGGTTTGTTTGGCAAATAATATAACCGAGAATATTCGCGTATGTTTCTTAACTCGTCACTATTTAACGGCCGGATGGTTTACAATGAATTTTGAAACGAAACGTTTCTTGGATGTCGGATGTTATATTGCGCAAAACAAAATGAAAATTATAGCTCTAACAAGTGAATTTAATTAGGGAAGCCCTCAGAACTTCATAGAAAGTCTGAGCTTCCTTTGGAACCAAAAATGTTTATATTTTTATTATTTATTCTTCTATACTTGGACTTGATGTCTATTGGCATTCTCTAGCAGTCACCCCGGGCGTGAGGAGAAATCGCGGTAGGTGCAATAAATTAAGATTTCTTGTTATTCGTTGATATATTTAGCGAGAATAATGTTGCATCCGATACGGTTGACAGTATCGGGCAAACCACTTTGTTGACATTTTGATAAGTGTAACAATAGTTTATTTAAATAAAAAAATGTAATTCATAACCGTGGACAACTTTAAGTTCAGTAGTCGAAAGCCAGCCAGTATAATTTCGACCCGATTGGTCCTTTGACCGAGAGGTAGACATTGTGTTTTTTAATATCTGCCTTAATATGTATTTAATCAAAAAAGAAAAATAAGTTTATCAGTTACCTATTATCCAAACCACAAGCTTTGCTTAGTTTGTGATTTGATAACGTTACGTAATAAATATATACCCTGAAATATTTACCTATTTTATTAGTCGTCATAAAAAATCCTACGTTTCGCAAACGAAGCTGACGTTTTCGTTCAGGCTATAAAACCGCTCCGGGGGAGATCCCGCGGGCGCGTCGAGCCTGTCACTCGTGACGTGTGCTGTCCCCGTGTGCCAGCGGCCTAATTTTTCTTGCGGCTGGTCTGCCGTTAATAAACTCGAGTACTGTACGTAGGCTTCCAAAGTGGACGGCGTAACGCGGATAAAGTGATTGCTTTTTAGTTGGCCCGCCATTGCACTTGGTCAGGAGAAACTTGGTTAAATTATTATAAGAACAGTCAATAAACAGATTATTACTTATATACTACTATTAATATTTACTTATTAAGTGGTTATTATATACGAACTACGAAACATGTCGTTTTTCTAACTTCATCTGTCAGAAATTCAATTATCAAGAAAAAAAATTTATGTACCAAAGTATTAATATATTATATATCATACCTACATTCATTTTTGTTTTTTTTTTGTACAACTGATGTTACGCTTTCAGACTATTAAATCTTCATCTAATGTAGAACCGGTGGGCTAGCCAGAACCCACGGGTTTGAATGGTCTCTCCTCAGTGGGTAATATACATTCATGATGTTATTATAAGAAGATGTGAATACGTTTTAGGAAGGTATATCTTCTTCTTATATATGAAAATGGATTGCTGTTCGTTAGTCTCGCTAAAACTCGAGAACGGCTGGGCCGATTTGCCTAATTTTGGTTTTGATATATTCGTGGCAGTCCAGGGAAGGTTTAAACGATGAGAAATTATAGAAAAATTGTATAGAAAATCGAAACAGCAACTATTTTATCTTCCCATACAAACTGCAACCTGTCAATGTCTGTGTTACCTGTCAAACATTTCCAAATTGTCTAGAAATAATTTATATGGCAAACAACGTTTGCCGAGTCAGCTTGTAAAAGAAAAAAATTTTGTACCTATATCCTTTTGGGTTTTTTTAAAATTATTATTTACTTCAGGTGTGCATAAATTTTATCAAACAAAATCATGTCATAAATTATATGGTTTTAACTTTCTCAGACCTCTTTTAAAGTCGAAACGAATGACCCGAAAAATTATTTCATTACATCAAATAGTTGCGAGCGCTCCTTATCGTAACTGCATCAGCGAATGTTAAATCGAACTCCATTTCCTTTGCTCAAAACGCGTCCGCTCGACGCGGCGGCGCACGCGCGAATGGCTGACGTGGCGGAAATTTAAGGTTTTTTTTTTTTTCTTTTAACAACGTCATTTATATTTATATTGCCTATCTTAATCGAAATGAAATACTCTATTACGGTAACTAAAGAACGGCGCTCTATTTCGACAGCTCCGAATGGGTGAAGGGGAAAATTGGTCGGTTAGTGAAATTGTTTTTATGGCCGGTTAAAAAAAATGCGAAGTAAACGCGCCGGAAGGATCGTAACTTAATTGACTGTCAGTTATTCCGTAGACTCAATTTCTTTTTGCAATTATCTGTTAACGAAAAAAAAATCACCGAGCATATTTCATTCGTTTCATTAACCGATGTTTCTATACGGATGTATGATGTACCAAAGCAATCCATCATCATCATAATCATGTATCATCATCACAATCATCATCATCATCATAATTTGAGCCTGTTTGAGTCCAGTGTTGAACATAGGCCCACAGACTGCCACGAAGCATGATCCAGAACTGCATCCACCGACTTCCCGAACGTTTGCACACAGGTCCATCACTCCATCTCAATCTCTCCCTATTGTATTTATTTTCAAGTACCTGTGACTGTAACTGTGAATTTTTCGGAAGCATAGCAACAAGCAATTCCGACATCATACATACCATCCTTCTTTATGTTAACTGAACAATACATGGAAATGTAACTTCTCGCTAAGTGTACTTAGCGAGAAGTTACATTTCGTACATATACATGTTGTACATATACAATATGGCCGCGCAATAAAGCGCTAGTGCGAGTTTATAATCCGCTACGGCGACGTTTGTGGAGAAACAACAACAAAAAGAGCTAAACGTCTCTTGTATCCTAAATCTCTCTATCTCGTTCCCACTTGCAGTTGACTAACACCTCCCGTCTCTTTTCCACGCTCAGTGCAACGTTCGTGAGGTGTTGCGGCGCGCTCCAAAAATGCAATCTCGCAAAGAAAACACGCCGAAGGTGTTCAAAAATGATGACACTCGTGAAAGACTCAAGATGACTTACTCGGTGGCGCCGTTCCTAAGCTATTCATTAAGGCTTCGGCGTCGGGCGTCGTGGGTTCGATTCCGGATCGGGTGTTTGTTACCAAAGGGGGGCTGACGTCAGGCAGGCGGCTGGTCGTAAAAGTATATTCAAGACCGCTTACAACATGATTCACATGTTTTACCGACCTCACTTATGTGGGATAAGGGCAGGAGGATGATTTTTTGAATAATACGCATTCGAAATGTCGAAAGGTTTCGCGTTACTGTTTCATCCGGCCTTCATTATCAGTTCAAATTTCCGTTTAAAAGTAAAGTAACAGCCTATACATATCCCACTGCTGGGCAAAGGCCTCCTCTTTTTTACAGAGGTTATCAGGGCATAGTCAACCACGCGGCCCCACTGCGGATTGGTGTACTCCACATATCTTCGAAATATTTTTTGTTATCATTTCGAAAATATGCAGGTTTCCTCACGATGTTTTCCTTCACCGTTGAGCACGTGATAAAGTCAGCACTTAAAATTAACAATTTCATTGGTGCTGGCACTTTTATGGGAAAAGGAGGCAAACGAGCATGCAGCAAGCATTTTTCGGGTCGTTCGTTTTTTTAGTGTCCGGGTGTTTATATATATGTATAATATGTATTTATTTACAAAAGAAAAGTGTGTTTAAGTATGTTTAGCAGTTATCTAGTACCCATAGTACAAGCATTGCTTAGTTTGGGACTAGAGAACGTTGTGTAAAAATGTGTCCTAAAAATATTTATTTAAATATTTAATATTAATTAATTTATTAATTTAATAATTGTTCATAATATAATTCGATGATCTAAACAAGCCGAAGATGCATGACACGTCCACCGCGCGTTAGTCACTCCCCGTCATTGCCAAATGGAATGGGGAACAATGGAGTTTTATTTAGTGGCGGTATTTAGTCGCCTGCCAAGTCGACAGCAGCCCGGTGAAAAATCGCGACGATTGGCAGCCACCCGCCTTCGACCCAAGTCGCAGGCGTCAGCGTTTTTGTGACGTGCGATAATTTTAGTGGCAAAATTATTTATACTTTAACGCCGTGCTGTATGATAAGTTAATCTTGCGTTTCACAATCAAAGACACACACCATAATCCGATATTTCCACCCGAGTGGATGCCACGTATTCGGTGTTTCTTGTTTGTGTTTAAAAGTATAGTCGTCACCATAGTAACTAAGATAGCGAGGAATATAATTAAAAGCTGATCAAATTAATACTCGGTAATTATTACTAAACTATCGATATAGTTTATGATAACTTTCTTCAAACATGTTGTCACAATTATTATACTACTACTCTGTCATATAAATACCGCGAATTGATTACATAACTCTGTAACAGTATGCCTTATCAGTAAAAACGGAGTTCTGAAAGTCAACAATTATATTATTAAATTGAGAATGCCTGCACCCTTAATCCAAGAATCCTCGCTACCCAGTGCAATGAAAGAAAACCAACCATATAGTTATTAATTATATTACGATGTGAATAATAATAGTATTATTCACATTTTAATATAGTACAAGGGACGACCCATGTAGCTATTGAGTCAAATGATTAGTAAGGTATAATATTTAGAAGACATTTAATGGATTCGAAATCGCAACCGCGCCCGCTTGTGACGAACGCCGATCTTTACAACTGGCCGCCACTATAATCGAAATGTCCGCAAGGGATAAGCGGCAACGACATTAAAAAGCACACATCGGATGTAGCACGTACACTGTTCCCGGCTAATTGGCGAAGTCTCCCGATTTCCCAACAGAAATAGATGGAACATATTTCATGCTCAAATAATATTAAAAGTGACACATTTATAAGAGTTAAAATGTTCCTTTTTTTTCTTGGATACGCTTGTTTTACACGTGTCTTCGATAGTCACAATGTTTGTACACAAGCACGGACAGATAAATGCTTGAATAATGTTCGATTAATGTGGAGATATTTTTTTTATTTTCTATCTTCTCAACACGCTTTATTTTTGTTTATTTCGGGATGCTGCTGCATACCTTACGATAATGATGTTGGTTTGTCTTATGTATGAATTTATTTAACCGTTTAATATAATTTTTTTTTGTTTCAGGTAAGTGAAGCTCGTTTTATTTACGTGCACCTTCGGCTATCACGTGAGTGTTCGGAAAAGTAATATAAGACTACTTGTCTTAACAGGAAGAACCAACATCTCGGCTGCCAACTTTTGATTTTGTCACGTGTTTAAGGAACTGACTGTGACGGTTTTAGCTGAATTTATCACTTGATGTCTAACGGCCGGTTTCAATATTCTATCTACAGATAGATTTGGCTACTAGCGGTATGTATTTGACATTAGCTCCATAATAGTTACGTCAGAATTCTATCTCCAGTAACCAAATCAATCTGTAGACAGAGTGTTGAAACCGGTCGTATGTCAATATAAATTTTGAATCTTTATTTTAAGATAAGTTGTACTTGTAACTGTATACATGAATAGATGAACACGTGTCAAGTTAAAATACCAACCAGGAAACTAATAGGGCTTTAACGGGCGCGAGTGTGGCTATTTATCTTGCCAATCATAATTTAACAGAAAACCACTAACCACTAGTGCTGCTTGTCGTTATAATAGTTGTTAATATTCAAGTTCGGTAATAGCTAAATATATTAGAATCAAAATAATAACGTTTGAACTCTCATAATGCTAAAACCAAATTTCAGTTTATGAAACAAACACTATTATCCTGAACAGGATTACGCTCTGACTGGTGCGAAGCCACTCCGCTATACAACCGTCCGAACATTACAGGGGGATTTGGGTCGACGATGAATTTGCGCGCCGGGATTAACTATTTGTGTCTCTCATCACCTTAATTAGGGCGCATTAAGTCATTTCAGCTAGTTAATGCACATTGATAATTGAACTACGTTCGCTTTCGATAATGCGTATTTGGTTGCGGTGTTATTTGCACTTTATGGATTGCATTTGAAATTTCTACCCTGTTTTGAACCTGTGTTCACATTCAAATATACATGTCTTTGTATGTATTAT